ATATATATATATATATATATATATATATATATTATATATATATATATATATATATATATGATATATATATATATATAATATATATATATTATGTATATATGTGTGTGTGTGTGTGTGTGTGTGTGTGTGTGGTGTGTTGTGTGTGTGTGTGTGTGTGTGTGTGTGTATGTATATATAATATATCAGTGATTTTTTTAATAGATGTATTTCATTTTATGAATATATTAGCAATATATCTATGCGAAACTGAAAATATGTATTAGAGAGAGAGAGAGAGAATCGGAAATAACGGCATTTCTATAAGAAAAAAAAAATCAGAAAGCAATTTTGGTTGCGTCTGCGGCTCATTCATCTTCATTTGGAATAAATCTTTTTCGTTCTTTCACGCTAAAAGGACACTGTGAATGAAGCCTTGGCACCGGCGGGGTACGAAGCTGAACGCGGTCGAGTGCCAGGTGGAAAACCCTCCGAGTGCCTTCTCGGCGGACGAGGTTTTGGCATGTGAAGTAATATTTTCACTCTGTCTGTCTCTCTCGTTCTCTCTGTGTGTGTGTTTTCTTTCAGCAAGTGTTGTTCTCCTCCTGGTGCGTGTGTTATTTTTTTTTCCAAGCATCAATTTGGACGTTAATCAACAGTCACCTAAAATAAGCATGTGTTTTGATGTTCACAGACGCCATTATAACTGCAGTGGCCGTGGCTGGGTTTGTCGACTTCATTGGTTTTCTCTCTTTTACAGAGTATTTTTCTCAGCCCTGGCGGCCGTGTTGGTCATAGCGACGTTCCTGGATGTGTGGAGCCAGTGCTTTCAACAGCAGGGACTTCGGACAGGTCAGTGTTGGATGTTCACTCTCCCGCTACGTTTTGCTTGCATTTTCTCAATTTTGCATTCACTTCGTTATATTCGTTTCACATCGTTATGATCGCTTCGTGTCTTTACATTCGCTTAAAGCCGTTAAATTCGATACGTGTCGTTAAATTGCTTCAAGAAGTTGAATTCGATTCACATTCCTTCATATTCGATTCATATTCCCTTCAATGTCATATCTACTTCATATTATATCGCACTTCTCATGTCGTTAAATTCGCTCGCTTCATGTTTACGCTTTGTTCACCGTGACGGCGTCAACCCCATTAGCGATGCTGAAAACTTTTCTCCGTCTTCAGGTCCTGTCAAGTACCTGCTGGTGTTCTCGGTCAGCCGCAACCTGCAGAAGCTCTTCCACCTGGACATATCGAAGAACCCTGGCGTTATCTCCTGTCTACATGGAATCAGGTCAGTCTAGGTACTTCAGCGTAAAGACTGGTATTTTTGAGACAATCATGAGGAATTTGACTTGTGTAATAACCCTTTTGATTTGCTGCAATATTTTATTTACTAGGTTTCTGTCCATATGCTGGGTCGTGTTGGGTCACCAAGTATGCTTATTCTAATTTATCTCGCGTCCAATCCCACCGAATTACCTGAGGTAAGACCTCTCTTGAGCAGTCGTTGTACATGTTTTCACTTTTTTTTTTTTTTTTTTTTTTTTTTTTTTTTGAGGGGGGGATTGTAGACACATTTGGTATTCAGTTCTCTCTCATACTTGACAAGTTCCAATAATCATAACAAATACTAAAAAAAAAAAAATCTGACATATCATTTTTCGTCGTACTTCCACTATATCATTTTTCGTCGTACTTCCACTACATTATTCCCTATTTCCCCTGACAAGCAATCAGAACATCTTTGCATTTCCCAGTTCTCCCCGGCCAAATATCAAGATCTTACCGCAGTTCTCACCTTTGTGAAAACACTTAGCTACCTTTCTTACTCATCGAATCATCTCTCACTACAGGTTCATATATTCTCCCTAGCAGTTTAAATCTTCTTGCATTATTCCTCCTTTCTCCATAAACACCTGCTAAAATTTCAACGTATTTTCCAAATCTTCCTCCGAAAACTATCAAAAACCCACCCGATTTTTCCTCTTTCCCTCCGAAAACTGATCAAAACGTCGCCATCATTTTTCTTATTACCCCAGAAAACTATCAAAATCTCCCTACATTTTCCCCTCGAACAGCTATTTAAATTTCACCGCATTTTTCCCCTTTTCCCCCAAACAGCTGGTGAAACCCGCTGCTTTCCAGATGATCGCTAACGGAGACCTGAGTGTCGACACCTTCTTCCTCATGAGTGGGACACTAGTATGCCTCAGTGTGTTGAAACAGATGTCCCAAACGGGGAAATTCAACGCGGCTCTTTACTACCTGCACAGAATTATCAGGTGAGAGCATGAAGAGGAAGGAGAGAAAGGAAGAGAGGGAGTTTGTATGGTACGGTGAGAGGTTGGTATTATGATAAAAGGAAAGTGTTTTAATGGCATGGATGGAGAGAGAGATAGAGAGAAAGAAGGTACCTTTACATAGGTATGAGCACTCAATTTTGATGAAAATACTAGTTGGCAACTTTTGTGCTAAGCCCCGCCTTATCAAATTTATTCACTGTAAATATTAATATATA